ACAGAATCTCATCAGAGTAAAGTGTTGGTTTGTGGTGGAATTTAAAACAAGACAATTTAATTTTAAGCTTAGATTCGGTTCATTTGAACACATTAATCCACACGTGATACGTTCAAAGACTATTAAAAGATTAAAATCCTGTGATTGTTTCTGTTTTTACGGTTTCTAGCGACGATGAACGTGTCATTTGGGTAATTTGTTAAAGATTATAAGATGACTTTCAAAGCCGACGGCAGATTTTAACAAATTTTAATGAACAAAAACACAGAAATTCTCTGATTGCAGCTTCTTAAATGTGAGTTAATATTTAGGTTGTTTATACTTTAGGACGTTAACATCCTGGATATTCAGATTTTAGGGGGTTAATATTCAGTGTATTGATCCTTTATTATGTTAACATCCACGTAGTTAACACACTTAAAAACCAAGTTAGTGAGACTTTTGCGTGTTATTTTCCAGGTTATTGACACTTTGGAACGTTAGGATGAAGGATTTTAATGTTAATGTCCAACATATTAGGACTTTATTATGTTAATATCCAGACACTTTTATTCATTAATATCCAAATATTGATATAATTGTGCATAAATATTCAGATTATTGATACTTTTGTATGCGAATATCCAAAGTTTTGACACTTTTTTTACATTAATTTCTATGTTACCGACACTTTATGGTGTTAATATCCAGCATATTGGTGCTTTTATGTGTTAACATCCAGCTCATTGACACTTTTTTATGAGAACATCCACCTAATTTACACGTTTGTTCATTAATATTCAGGTTATTGGTACTTTTGTGCATTAATATGCCGGTTTTCGACACTTTGGGATGTTAAAATCCAGGATTTTCATACGTTAGTGGTTATGTTTTCATGTTAACATCCACTGNTGACAACATTCAAGTAGAAGAACAACATTCAGATGTTAAACCTCTAAATCCAAAAATACTAAAATTACACCAAAGAAAGAAACTTAAAGAAAAAATCAGAGAAAGTCAGATTTTCAATTTTCGGGATATTTCATAAAAAAAACACTTGATTCTCATTTAAAAATTCACCAAAAATAAATCGTCTGTTCGAACCAGATTCTGTAAAAAACAAAAAAATTCTGCGTTCTTTGTCGCAAATGTGAAGCCTTGACTGACTCGGCTGCGACAAACAGTCACGTGACAAAAATTCTGCGATTTCTTTTCTTTTTTTCCGGCTGAGCTGCGTTTATACAGAGCAGAGAGGAGACGAGTGTAAAATATCTACAAAACGTAGTCGACATTTTAGTGTTTTGTAGCGTCTGCATCACACGTGAACATTCGGAAATATGTTGCACAAGTTGTCTTGTGTCCATCGGTTAATATATGATTTAACCAATAAATTAGGAATATTATTTTGTTAACATATAATTATTATTTAATTATTAACACTGACTATTTTATATGAATTATTTTAGGAATGTTAAAATACTTTTTTAAGAATCAAATTTACAAAAATTGTAATAATTTTATATTCATTAAATGATTAAATACTGGATCAACTGAAGCTCGTATTTTGTGTTAATTCAGCATGAATAAACTGCCAACTTTCTAATATTATTTAAAAAATAAATATATATATATATAGATGATATAATATTTGAGACATATTTTGGGAAAGAACATCAAAAACTAAAGATGCTGTTTTGGTTTATTTTGTTTCCTGTTTGATCTGTGATTTATTCAAAGCAAGACTTCATAAAAGCAGCTTTAACTTGACAATCGGCTCCATATTTAAGACCTGACTGACTGTATTTAACCCTCTGAAGTCTGTGTCAAAGTCTTGGATTTATTTCTCTTGTTGTCCCGGTTTTATCCCAACTTCTATCACGATGGAGAACCAACGTCAGAAACATTAAAAAACAGAAACTGAAACCAGACAAAGGGATCAGACTCCGTGTTACTGGAGAACTGCTGTTTGTAAAATGGTTTAAAATCAAATCTGGTTTCGTGTCCATACGTCTCCACGATCAGCCTCCAGAGACTCATCGACACCTAAAAGACCACAAAGACTTTCTGGATTTCGGAGCGTTTCGAGGAAAGTCGGCGTTTTCTCACCTGTACTCTGTCGCAGCTCCTCACACAGGCTGACGTGTGGAAACTGCAGCATCTGCTTCCACTTCTTGCTTTTTCCTTTTCTGTTCCCGCCGCCGCCTGGAAAGAGGAAAGAGGTTCGGTTTAAACGACGAAACTCTCTTTAAATTGTTTATCAGAGGCAGAAGCTGGGAAAAAAATGGAAAAAAAAATCGGCAGGTTTCCAGCGTTCTGATGGTCCTCGAACGCATCATGTGTGACGCGAGGTCAGAAAAAAATAACCGACACTTAAAATATACAGAATCACCAAAAAGTAAACCGTTTGTACAAAACAGATGCTGTGAAAAACTAACAACTGAGACTCCATGACTGGTTGTGTTCAGGTGTTCAGGCTGAGCTGCAGGCAGAGTTTCCACAGAGTGACAATAAAAGTGGATCCATAAAGAAACCAGTGAGCAGAGCAGCCAGATGTTGGAGATCCATCCAGCACGATGAAGCTGGAGGCTGTAGACAAACATCTCCAGCCTGTGGAGCTCCGTCTCTGTCCACTGATGGTGACAACCTGCTGACAACATGCTGGACGTGTTGATTTATTTATTTCAATTCTTGTCATTTTTGTAAAAGTCCAGTA